GAAACATCAATGATGAGAGAGAATCATCGATTGGCTGCCTCCTGCATGCCCCACACTGGGGATGGAGCCCACAACCTAGGCATGTGCCCTGACCAGGAATTGAACCGACCTCCTGGTTCATAGGTCGATGCTCAAGCACTGAGCCACGCCCCCCGGGCGGGACTAACATTTTGACATTTCAACATAGAGTGTGTGAATAAGCTCCAGAGAGACATTTGCCAGCTCTTCAAATTCTACATAAAACAATAAAAACTCAAAAGGGTATTACAGAATCCTAGCCAGTTTCATACTAACACACAATATTAAATCCCCACACTTATTTCCAACAACAAAGTGCTACAGACGTGTGTGCACTAAGCCTTCGTCCCCTCTCCCTTGGCCCAGCAGAGTTCACAAGGTCAGGGTGTGGCCCAGTGGTCCATGCAAACCAGTAGAATCTCAACTCAACAAACCCTCACTAACCATCTGCGAAGCACAAGGCATCATGATGACAATCGCTTCATACATGCTAGGCAGTGTGCTCTTTATATGCTTTACCTCATTTAATCCTCACCAAACCCTGGGAGATGAGTACTACTATTTGCCCACTTTAAAAATGAAACAACTGCCCTGGTTGGTTTGGCTCAGTGGATAGAGCATGGGCTTACGGACAGAAAGGTCCCGGGTTCGATTCCGGTCAAGGGCATATGCCTGGGTTGTGAGCTCGATCCCCAGTAGGGGGCATGCAGGAGGCAGCCGATCTATGATTCTTTCTCATCATTGATGTTTGTGTCTCTCTTTCCTTCTCCCTTCTTCTCTCTCTAAAAAGTCAATAAAATATTTTTTTTAAAAAACTGCCCTGGCCAGTGTTGCTTGGTGGTTAGGCCTGTGCACCAAAGGGTCTCGGGTTCCATTCCTGGTCAAGGGCACGTACCTCGATTGCTGGTTCGCTCCCTGTGCCCCGACCTGAATGCGTGTGGGAGGCAACCAGTCAATGTCTCTCTCACACGGATGTTTCTCTCTCCCTCTCCCCCTCCCTCCCTTCTACTCTTTCTGAAAAGCAATGGAAAAAAATAACCTCAGGTGAGGATTAACCAATAAATCCTATATAACAAAAGGCTAATATGCAAATTGTCCCCTCGACCAGGAGTTCAACCAGGGGGCAGGGCCAGCCAACCAACCTCCTGTGCCCCCCCCCCCCCCCGTGGTCCCCGGCAGGCCGGGCTCCCCGCCAGCCCAATCAGCCCCGATCAGGGCGGGCTGGCAGGGCTCACCCGGGCATGAATTCGTGCACCAGGCCTCTAGGAAATACATAAGCAACTAAGTAAATAAAAATGAAACAGCTGAGGCATGCAGAAGAGTTAAGTAATTTGCCAGAGTCTCATGCTTAATTGCCAAGGCTGTGCTGCAGGCTCTGTGGAATGAAACAGTGCCCAGCATCCAGATTGTTCAATAATGTGAAGATAAAGAGAGGTTCCCCCAGCTCCGGGGCTGAGGAACAGGCTGAGTACCCACCCACTCCCTCCCCCACTGAGGACATAGTAACTGTGGAAATCCTCCAGGCGGCCTTTTCCTTCCGAAGAGCGGGAAGGGGGCTCGGTTACCTGTGGGAAGAGAAGAGCTTCCCAGAGAAGGGCTCACTTTGGAAAAGGAAGAGGGGACAAGGAAGAGAAAACAACAACATGGGAGTGTCCCGAACTGAGACGCCCCACACCCACACACCCCTGCTTCTCTGAAAGCAGACACCCTCTTCCCGGAGAAGGGGGAGCTGCGCTCACCCCACCCTGCAGAGCGGCTCAGGACCCGGGAAGACTCCAGTAAGAGGCACAGGATCGCAGAGTCCAGAGTCACCCACTCTGACCCGTCCACCCCTCCACCCCTCTGCTGGTTCCAGATGGCAGAGTCCAGGGGTCACCCCTGGCCTGGTGGCAGTCTTGTCCAGGGCCCTTCATCCAGCACAGTAAGGACCATCCCACATGTTCTCTCACAGTGTAACACAGAAAGGCTCTGGAGTGGATGTTAGATACAGAAAACACTTCTTGGGAAGGAGATGCTTTGTTATATTTAAAAGAGAGCATAAAAGCTATTCCTAAGGAAAACCATCTTACTTCCAACTGAACTGGAAGTTTGGTTCTTTAAGTAGTTTCTTGTGGAGAAGTTTATTGTCTCCAATTAAAAATCTGCTCACTTTATCTTTCCCTTCATTAATTAGTTAGTAGTAAGAATTACCAATGTGTGAAATTTTTAAAAGAATAAAACTATAAAGTCTAACTGGTTTTCATTTTCTTTTCTTTCCTTTTTTTGTTTTTTTTGTTAATCATCACCGGAGGATATTTTTTCCATTGATTTTTAGAGAAAGTGGAAAGGAAGGAGGGAGGAGGAGGGGGAGGGGGAGGGGGAAAGAGAGAAAGAGAAACATCTATGTGAGAGAGACACATCGATTGGTTGCCTCCCACACATGCCCCAAATGGGGGCCAGGGATCAAACCTGAAACCCAGGTATATGTCCTTGCCCAGGAATCGAATCCATGGCCCTTTGGGGGGGGGGGGGGGGGGGCATGCAATACTCTAACCACTTAGTATCACCGGCCAGGGCTGGTTTTCTTTTTTAAAGTAAAAGGGGTGGGATGCTGAAGATGCAGTTAGAACACTGTTGTGTCGAAAATAAAGCAAACGATCATTTCTACTGGGTTTGGGCTTTTTATTCTTATTTCCCAAGTACCTGAAGAGAACCCTTTATGTCTGCTGACAGATTCCAACTGTTTCTGAACAACTATAACTGAGTAATAGCTTTTGAACACAGAAGGCCCTGAAGTATACAGCTCCCATAACAATACACATTGAACCATAAAGGGTAAAGAAAAGATACAAGGTCCCACATTTTCACCCCAACTACTAACAAAGCTATGGTTAGAAACAGGGGAGAGGCAATTTACTGACTTATTTCCAAGGATTTATAAACATCTTTCCAAAGGTTGGGTGGGGTCAATCACTTCCAGAGACTGCATTCCAGTTACTCCTGTCCCATGACCTGCGGATTTCTCACTCGACAGACCTAAGGGTTTTCAAATGCTTAAAACTGACCCAATGTGTGATGGACCCAAAGCAGGCTCCACCCAGTCCCCCTCCAGGAAGGGCTTTCTGGCCCCGCTGCTGGGAATGCTACCAGCAGAGGGCCATCGGCCTCCGTGGGGTACTGACTGCCTCAAGGGCACAGAGCGCTTGTCCGAGGACACGCTCTTCCCAGGGTCTTCCATGTTCACCACTGAGCAAGATGGAGGTGTACAGCCCAGACAATGAATGCAAATGGGCCAACTCCGACAGACCATTTGGCTCTAGAACGAACTTCCCCTGGCGTTGGCTGAGGCTGTCTGCCAGCTCCGCTTCTCCTGCCCGTCCTGCTCGGGTGGCCTCCCTGTCACAGGTGTTGATCCCATAGGAACTCCCTAATCAACAGCCTGCATACTCAACTCCCTCCTGCGTGTGCTCCCAAGAGATTCCCGTCTGTAACTCAATGCCTCTATGAATAAGAAAAAGACATTCCATTTTCAAGGTAAGTGGCACATGTTGAATGAAGAGGCTGGAAAAAAGCTTTCACAATTATCTTGGTACTTTTCCTCCTCTATTTGACCTACACTCCATGGGGCTTTAAAATTCAACCTAGGCCCAGCCTGGGTGGCTCAGTGCTTGAGCATCAACCTATGAACCAGGAGGTCATGGTTTGATTCCTGGCCAGGGCACATGCCCAGGTTGTGGGCTCCATCCCCAGTAGGGGGCATGCAGGAGGCAGACAATTGATGATTCTCTCTCATCATTGATGTTTCTATCTCTCTCTCCCTTCCTCTCTGAATCAACTATATCTATATATATATGTATATATATATATATATATACATATATATATATATATA